TAAATTCAAATGGAAAAATTTAAGGACCATAAACCTGATAGAGGAAAAAGTACTAAAAATTTCATGAGTAGCCATATTCTGTACTGCACCAGTGCCCTGTCATAGGCTTGCCTCCTGGAAATGCTGCCTCTTCAACTATAGATTAAGTTGAAGATTTATTGCTTACAAGAACAGTGCTGTAGAAACCTCTGATTTAGTCTTAAAACATCTGTATGCCTTTGATCCCAGATAAGTAGACTTAAAGGTGAGGGTTGATCTTGTGCTAAGAACTGGGGGCAAAGCAGGCAGTCCTGGTTTCATTTCCTGCCTGAGCCTCAGACTTCCTATGTAACTCAAGATAAGCTCTTTGTTCATTATTTCATGCTCTGTAAAACTGGGATACTAATACTTCCCTTCCCTTTATAAGTTCTTATTCTTGCCTAATAAAGTAGTTATTATATAACACGCTTTCTTGCTGAATGTAACTTGTGTTGCATTTTTGTGTTAAGTAAATAAGCACATGAACACAGAACTCCCTTTTTTCATATCTATGCATATTCAGGACTTGCTCATAAATGCAAATTCATCTTGAATGTGAGTACTTGCACAGTCTGCCTTGCATATTCAAGTCTGTGTACTGATCCAGAGTCGTTTCCAACTGGACTTGATGAATAAGGCAGAAGTTTTTCAGGACCTAAGAGTTCAATCAGAATTAAACTAGATTATTTATTTACACGGTGTTTATTATCAAGTAATGAGGAAGGTTCATTTTGCCATATGCTTCTATTACTAAGGTTATTTGGTTAGAATCCTTAGAATATATTTCTTCCAGATTTCTAGTGCATTATACTGGCGATTCAGTACCTTTGTAAATCAAGAGGTTATTCCTCTCTCCTTTCTTTCCTGGGAACTTTTAGTTAATACATTTTCAATGAAACTAACAAACAACTTGGAATCTTTAACTGGTATTCTCATGACAAGCTGTGAATGGCCAGGCTGCCCTTTATGATTTTTCTCAATTTTCTTGCAGCCTTAGAATGCTGAATAAAAGATTTATGACCTGTGTTAGTAGAAAACTCATAACGAATATCTCTATCAGTTAATGAATAGAAATACATTTGGATCTAAGGCTGATAATGGGGCTAAGCTGAGAAATGAAGTTATTTATAAGCATTATTTATATCTCTTTACAAAAAAACAACCGAAATTAAGATCTTTGTCATGTATCCTGACTAATCCAAACTTGAGTAAATTTATTTATTATATCGAGGGTTATGCCATCCCAGTGTAGTTTTGTTTTGGAATAAAAAAGTGCTTCTTGGCTCTGATCATTAAAACAATGAAAATTTTTCCTGTGGTTAAGAGTGAGGACATATTGGTACATAAAAAATGCAATGTGTTGTACTTTTATTAAGCATGGACCTCATCTGTTGGTGGCATATTCTAAAAATAAAAATGTCTCAATTTCTTGGGTCTTGAACCTAAGAAATGAAGTCAGTAGCTGTTGATTTTCTGTATATCTTGCCTTTAAGATTTCTATATTAGATTTTTATAGTTTTATTTGATTAGATGTTTTTAAGGCTTTGTTAATACCTACTTGCTTTGTTTGGCAGATATCAAATAGAAACTAGTGTCATGGAGGCTACTAGTAAAGCTTAGTTCAAAATGATTACTCTGTATTGGAAGTATTGTTAAAAATTCCTAAGTCCAAAGTGCAAATCTTGTGGTTTTACATGCTATAGAACTGCAATTTGATTTGCTTCAGATGGATGTAGCTTTATTTTATTTTATTGTGAAAGCCATAATCTGTCCTATTCTTCATCACATTTAGAATCTTAGTCCATGAAAGTTGCCAGTATAGGTTTGGATACTGTTGTTTCCAATTTTCTGTAGTGCAGGTAACCTGCCTGAATTCAGGTGCCTCCAACAGCAGAACTATGGTGGAGAGGAGGCAAAGGGTGCATCTCTAAAACACTACAAACATAATCATCCCTCTTGATCCAAAAAGTCACAAGATCAAGTGGATGAGATTGTGCCAGAGCAGCTTTTGGATTGGGCTGACTCTGTGAAACTGTTTATAAGGGTCAGCATTTAAGATATCAGGTAGTGAAAAATCGTAGTTATCAGATGCTTGAAGGGACCCAGAACAGGCAGACAATGCATCAAAATAACAAAAAAGTCCTTTTCTTCTCAAGTCACAGCCTTCTCTTGTCTCTTGTAAAGCCAGATTAAAAAAAAAAGTTCTTATTTAATATTACAACTCAATATACAAAAAATATGCCAATGAAATAATCCAGGAAGTCCCCAAGAAGACCTTTTGCCAAAATTAAAACCAGGTTTTTGTATGAGAGTATTTTTTTCTGGGAAGTTGTTTGGTTATTTTTTGGGGGTTATTTTTTTGTTTGGTTTTGGTTTGGTTTTGGGGGTTTTTTTGTTGTTTTTTTGGTTTTTTTGGTATTTTTCTGAGGGTCTAGTAGTATTCTTTGCTGTGTATAAAGCAAAAGCATCTCTTTCTGTAGAAAGTGTGAGACTTCTGGACTACCCCTCAGAACTCTGTATCTCCACTACTCCATCTAAGTCCACTTTGGTATTTGGAGCCTGCCCATTTTGAAAATACACCTGATAGATGTATGCTGGATGAGGAATTGGCATTATATTGTAAGAAATGCTATTTAGCTTTGCTGTGATGTCCTTTCTGGTAGCCTTACCATCTGCAGGTATATAAAAGTAACACCTGTTCAGTGGATTCAGAACAAGAACAGTTTATGGAGGCAGCAACACAGAACATTACAGAAACTATCTAGTTCCCTGGGATATTAAAAAGAACACCAAAAGATAAAATAATAATCTTATTAAATAACTCCTACAGCCCTGAAAAGCAGACAATAGCACTCAGGGTTTAGGAACAACATTGATCTTTCTGACAAAGGACAGACATCATTAAAATGCTAGAAGTGTGGAACAGCTCCACTGAAATTTAGGGTGTTTCTTTGAGTTTACACAGACAAAAGTGAAGAAAGAAATTAGCCATCAGTTTCTAAATATTTTAAACAATCAGGTGAATGGATGCCCTTCTTTTTCTTTATCACAGAGCTTTCTATTTAGCTCACATTTCATTTCTTAATGAATCAGGTTCTTCTTCATCTTCTGCTATTCTTTGAATCACTTAGCCAGAATTAAATGTTAGGCTTTGCTTGCCCATTAATATGGTATTCTAAGACACATATATTTTATGCATTTTAATTCCTTATGCTTTTATGGGCTCACATGTTGAAACTTGCTATTCCAGTATAAGTCTGTAAGTAGTCCCTATGCAGTTTTCTAAGACTTTTTTCCTCCCTTAGATTTTAATACTTTTTAATGCACTCATTATTAAAAGTTTTCCTTGTATGAAGACTTCTGCTGCAGAGATGCATTACATATGGACAGGCATAGGTCTCCATTTACCATGGTCAAGAAGATCAAATGAATCAGGATGTAGATGTATTTCCTAAAAGAGTTTATGAACTCTGCATTTGTAGTATAGTTCAACTAAAGGAAGGCTATAGTTCCTCTGCCATTGTTTTTTACCATTTTTTTTTCTGTAGCATGACAATTTTTCTATTGTAGAACTGGAAAAGACAAATAAGACCAGTCAACATGTATCATTCAGGGGACCCCCTCTGCCAGAGTCCTTATGATTCTCACATTCCTAGTTTTCTTCATCTCAGTCTTGAAATAGTCAGTTTCCAGCTTTGGAACAGGGTATGGAAAAACTTATGAGTTTGTTTTGTAAGGTGCTGCCCCTCTTTGTGTTGGCTGATCTGTATCACTGGACCTAGGCTGTAGGCATGCCAATTAAAAATAGAGGGTGTGGTTAATTTCACACTAATGCCATTGTAAAAGGCAGTCACAGTAAATGGAGACAGAGTAGTGTAAGACTCAGACTGGTTTCAGGCTTCTGTTACAGTGCTGTGGCTGAACTTAAAATATTGGCCAAGTCCTTTTATTATCTATTGAAAACTGTGTATTTATTAAAACTGTGTATTATTCCCACTTGGGGAATAGTGGCAGTGCAGCTTAAAATTAGCCACAGCCTTGGTCTGGGACAATGATCACAGAGCCACTGAGTAATTCAGCTTGGCAAGGACTCAGGAGGTCATCTAGTCCTACAGTACAGTTGCAGAAAGCAAAGTACAATTCAGTTATACTGCTTTAGTACTGCTGCCTGAGTCAATATAAGAAAAGAAAAAAAGAGAAATATTTAGAAGTTTTTATCAAAAAGGAATTACTTCTGTAATTTTAGTCTTAAAAACTAAATTTGTAAGTACTTTTTCTCTGTATGCTCCGTGTTTGTTGTAAAAATATGTACCAATAAATCAGGGTGACATGGTTAGTGGAAGAAATTAAAAACAGGAGCAATTTATGACATTTAATTATTTAATTTTCTAGATGACTGTTGTTTTTTGTGATAATACTACAGTCTATAAAAGAAGATATCCCCAAAAATATCTCCATTTTTAAAGTCATGCACATACAATTATTATGTTATGAAACACAATTATGGTACTCACAGGAATTTTCCATCATCTTTACAAACAACCTGACAAGGAAGTAAAAAATTGCAGAAAATAATCCAATAAAAAAAAATTTGTATCTGTTTTATCTCATTATATAAATTTAAATACAAATCTCTTAAAATATAATTGTAATGCTCTTACAAGACATTATTTTAGAATATGCTCCTTAAGATTACATGTAATAACAAAAACATTTATTCCTCCTTAGGGAGGTGGTCCTCTAAAGACAGAGATCATTGAGCTATCTATTATAACAACAAATTTTGTTGCTTGGAAATAGTTTTTTTGAAGTTTATCTTTTTTAGATATAAAAAGTAAGGAGTGCTTATTTTCATCACATTTCTTAATTTACCTACACTGAATTTCCTCTGCCATGTTTCTCGTCCCAGACCATAAGGTGTTTCTGCATCTCTTTATAGTGGTAGTTGTCTGTGTAATATTTTGTACCCTCATTATCTCCACACTTGTCATATATGGATCCCACTACAAAAAGACATGTATGGGATGATATAACATAGGCGTATTGAAGGACCTGTATAGGAAGCAAAAAGAACTGTGGTCAACATCTGCAGAAATGGAGTTTATATTTAGTGCACCTGAGAAATGGAAAGATCTTCTCTCTCTCTTGTGCGTTTTCCCCGTCCTAACATAAAGTTACACAGGGTCACCTGGATTGAGCTGGGTTTGTGCAAATTGCACTGCAGTGTGGATGCAAAGATAAAGAGGTGGGGGCACATGCACACAGGTGTGATTCTTGGCTGCAGCTGAACCCAGCAGCTGTGCCACGCTGATCTGTGTGAGATCTTTGAGAGAAAGGCTGTCCTTGAGTCTCTTGTGGTCCATGTGCTTCTGCAATGAGTGCTGAGTGTCCACAAGCAGATGCTGTAGCCTAAGAGCCAGATCTTCCTCTTGACTTCCTCAGCAATAAGACCAGTGGATGTCAGGAAGAGACTTTATTACCTATAGCAACCTCATGGATTTGTGGGCAAGTGCATATGTCTGGAGCGGTGCAGGAGCAATGTTTCACTGTGTCTTCATGTGGTTCATGATACTGGAGATGAAGACAGGAAGAGGAGATCTTGAGAGGTGCATATATTGTGCATCAGTTTATGCAATTGAGGGCCCTTGGCAGCTAGAACACGTGCATAGATAAGGTGGGGAGAACGACCCAGTGTCATTCTGTTTCTTTACACACAGCCTGCACAGATGGGTGTGTGTTATCATTTATTCATGAGACAACTTCCCACCATGTTTCAGTAAAAATTACATCTACTGCAAAGACTGCTGATGGCCAATCAGAGCACATATCTTACTTTGTGTTGCCTTGTCTATCCCAGCTCCCCAAATACTGCTGCTACTGGTACAGGTACTGTGTGAGCTCATTCAGAAAGCATCCTGGGATGCAAAGCCCTGAATAACGTCTTCCAATTAACAGGGCAAACCATAGCCTCATTCCCAAAAATATGTGCTTATTCTTGCCTTAATCCACCAAAGACCATAAGCATGTGCTTATTTTGAAGAGCATAAAGTACTCTTGAGTTTCTGTCAGACGACTCGCATGGCTCCCATTTAACTTGGCTTCAAATGTTTTGCTGAATCAGGGTCAGAAGACACTTGTAGGGACTGAACCAATATGCCAATGTTTTTTCATTCCTGGTTAACTGTCCCAGATCTGACAATGTCAAATATTGAACAGTTAAACAAGAACAGCCTCGTTGTTCAATAGTTCAAACTGAAACATAAGGTGACCTGCAGGTGGATCACCCATGTTAGAAGTGTGTCATTTTGGCGGGACAGTGATACCTTCTAAGAGACTCCTCTTCTTCAGATTACAGCCAAATTACCAGGTGAGCAAAAATAAGGGCTGAGCCACCAGTCACCATCCTCGTCCAGCTGAAAAGATTACTTCATCCTCTAAGGGTGTCATGCAAGTTGCTTTAATGATGCGCTAATTTAAATTTCTTATGCTTTAGCTAAGATTAGTTCATCTAGTGACATTTAAATTTCATTTGCTTGCAGTAATTTTGTTGTGCAGAATGTTGCAGATAACAGAAATGGCAGATTATGTAAATAGCAATTTATAAACAGCAGCTTTTTTCAAGCCATTGTTCTGAACATCCTACCCAAATTGCCTCGTACATGACCCTCATTTTAAATGTGTCTGTGACCAGACACTTAGCTTCAACAAAATTTTATATGTTTCACCTGTCTCCCAAGGAATACATTAGTTAAATTAAAATTGCTATTGAAAGCCAGCTATTTCATCAGACAATGAAAGCAAAATCATTCCTGTGCAAAGGGCAAAAGATATAACCCAGCCATCTGCTACAGTCAGCAGCAGCAACATCACCAAGTGTAAGAAAGATCTGATATCACTTGAAGTGACATTGCCAAACAATTCACAGAAAATCATACACATACCTTTATTTTTTATTGTGATATTTGGAAGTCTTTTCTAATTGTAGAAATGAGGGCTTCAGACATATATTTAAGCTGAATATTCATACAAATCCTAGTGCTAAACTCTGCATCTTTCCACATGTCTCTGATTCATGCAAGGACAGTGCTGTCATCAGTAAGCAGTGCTGCTCAGTAGGGACTTTGTTGGGGTGGCATAAGCACTTGCTGCCAAGCTTTGCAAGTCCTCCTAGAAAGAAGAACCCAAGGAGGAATTGCTAAGTATGGTTTCTGTTTAACTACTAAGATTTGAAGTGAAAAGCTTGGGGGAAAAAAAGAAAAAAAAAGTAAGAAAAAGAGAGAGAGCAAGCAAAGGAGAGGATGGATTTGCTGAAAAGAGATGATACAAGGTGAAGGCCAAACATAAACCCTAGTGCTGAGTTTCAAAGGCAAAATAGGAAGAAAAGCAGAATTTCCAGTTATATTACTGAGGGTAGGATAAGGGATTGAATTAAGCCCTGCTTCTCCAGTGGTGGTGAGGGTGTCTTAAGCTGGTGGGGCTTGTGTGAATGTTTGATGGTTGCCTCCCAGCGGCAGCAGGTCACACCAGCACTGACAGGCATGAAGTCTGCTTTTCTCCAGGAGCTGCACCCACAGGTTGTGCCAGTGGGTGGGGCTTTTGCAAAACACTGCATTCTCTGTATTGCTCCTCTCTGTGTGTACCCTTTATGGATTTGTGAGTGATTTTCAGAAATACCAAGATTCAAACAGGAGACAGAAGGAAATAATTTTTATGTGAATGGGATTCTGCTGACTTTTTGGGGGTCAATTAATTATATTCAGCTTGACTTTAGTTTTTCTGGCTAAGGTCTTTCAATGTCTGACCTAGAGGGAATCAAATGAAAAATATTTGATAAGTGCAGAGAAGTAGCTGAAAAGTGTTGTGGAAATTTGTCATAAATGATACAAAGTATATATTGCATAAATAAATGGTAAGAAAAGGAAGACAAAGTTGCATGAAGGGTAAACCTTCAATTAACAGTGAAGTCATTTAAAACCAGCAGTCAGTGATGAATGTGTAAGTGCACAAACAACAAAAACTTTTAATTGTGCAATGATTATCAGTAACTATTATTGAAGTAGCTCTAAGTTATTTATTATAATAAGACTTAAATTTATTAATAACTACTATTTTAAAAATTATGATAATTTAAGTACAAGTTTATCCTTTTTTTCAAGATAATGTCTTCTATGAGCTTTTATTATAGCTCAAATATAAACAAATTATTTCTAGGATATGTACTAAATAGTGCATAACTACTCAAATACATGATTTTATATTTATGTTACAGGTAACAGAATTGCATAACACTTTATTGTCAGATGCAGGACAACAAACTCAAGTTTCATGTATAAAACTGTAAAGCTGTAAAATATACATAAGCTATATACATAAGACAAACCAATTAAGGAGTCATTGCATTTTTCGTGGGGAAGTTGAGGGAGGAGAAAAAAAAACTGTGTTGTAATCTATAAACTCTGACTATCTACTTTACATGGATCTGACAAGCGTGACCAAAGAAGAAAGCATGAACATGGAGTGAGAGGGTTGGAAAGAGTTAGTTTAAGAAGCATTTAATTTTCTCTGAGTTCCATTGAGATAAGGATGTGGATGGAGTGCACTCCATAGAAGAGAGCAGTTCATCAGCAGCACTGGAAGCTGCCTCCGTACTGCGTTTAGCACGAAAACTAAATGGTTTTTACCATCATGCCTCTGAGTCATGGCTGTTTGAAAACCTCGACAGCCCTGCAGAAAGTTTTGGTCGAGTCCTGGGGCAGTAAAAGCTCTCAGCACAAATCTTATGAGTTATTTGGAGGCTGCAGTTATTGCGGAAAAAACACAGGGGAGGCTGCCAGTTCCACAGTCTATCCCTTGCATGTGAGATAAACACACAGGAGGGAACCTGCTACACAGTTTCTGGTTTCTGTCTCTCCAGCCAGGAAGAAGAGATGGTCTTCTTGCATCTGAGAGTCAGAAGGCTGAAGTGGACTGATAGAAAGATGAATAGAGGTATTTTTTGATGGCACATCTGGTCAAAGTGAGCCATCAAGGACTAGCAAAAAGGCACTGCATAATAAAGAGGGTGCTCTTCTCTCTCTCTTATCCATCAAAAAGAGATACAAGGATGTTTTAGATACTGTCTAGCTCTCAGTTGGACAAATGTGCCTTGAGGGACTGAAGAGAGGAATGAACTCCCAAGAGGAAGGAGCTTTCAGGAGCGATAGCTGGCAGCAAAGGAAAAAATCCAATTTTTGAGAAATTGAAGGACATAATAGCAAGACTCATATGCTGTGCCTGCAGCTTTTGTGCTGCCCACTGTCTGGACCTCCCGAGATCATTGAAAGGACAATTTCCATCCTGTTTTAGAGAAGAACGTGTAAACAGGTACATGTATACCTGCTTTGGGCTTTTTTAGCATGACCAAAGGAGGTAAGCCAGTGACAGGTGTGATTGGGTGGCTGGTTCCTGACTGTGTTAAGTCATCAACTAATATCCATTACAGCCAAAAGTTGACTTAGAGATACTTTCAGTGTAATAACTAGCTCCTAGTTCTGATCTCACAGGTTCCTACTTTCCTAACATAATTTCCAAGGAGATATTTATTATACAATTTCGGAGAAATGTAGAGTTCATTATGAATTCTATTCAGTTAGTTAAACCATTGAAATAAATTTCCACTATCATGCCATTTCTTATTGCCATTTTCAGAAAAATACAAAAGAAAGTTCAAAATATTTTTTTAAAAGTACACAAAAATACTTAATCATAATTTATTTGAAAAAATTTTCCAAACCTGGGTAGTCTGGGATGAGCTATTTTATGTAAATTGCATGATATTGTCTCTCTTTTGATGGAATTTGGAAGAAAAGGGCTGAAGTTGAAAGCTGTATTCAATATAAGAAGCATATTCTGGTACTGAATAATAATAATATTCTATATTCAGTGGTACCTTTGGAGAGGCTATCTGCATTCCACACACATTCCTGGGATTATTTTAGATGGTTAGATAAATAATTGCATATATATATGTATGTACCTCTTTTAAAGGTCTTTTGCAATCAAGTCCTCTATAG